TTACCCCGCGCGGCGCTCCTGGACCGACAGGCTCGCCCGCCCACCGGCCCCCCACGGTGCCCGCAAGTCAGATTCTTACCGACGGAATTTTTAGCAGCACAACAGGCATGTGGGACGGTACTTCTAGGCATTAAAATGAGGCCTCAGAAGTGACTCAAATTATTGTCCGAGGAAAAGACAAATCTGGGGATATGTAGGTTCTTGGGGCAACTGAGTCCTGTGAGTGACTGATCAGAATAATTTCTACCCTGTTGAGGAACCTTCTGAGAACCCCCCTCCATTCTCAAATCAACTCCATGTCCTTGGCCTGTTTGGAAGGAACTTGGTGATTTTCTCCCATTTGCCCTTCTGGCCACGTAGCCCAGGGCTCCCGGAGAACTAGGTACAAGCTGTCCCCAAACTCAGAATTTGCTTGTCCATTCTGTTAGGAATACCTTTTCCTCTGCTCCCTCTTCCCTACTCCCTTAGCCACATAGTCAGAGGCTGCCCATTCCTCAAAGCCTACTCAAATGCTGCCACCTCCAGGAAGCCTTCCTGACTTTCACTTCCAGAAGTGACCCTACAAGCTTGGAGACTCCGCCACTCTGCCCGTGCCTCACTTCCAGCGCGTATCACACTCCACCTTCTGCAGTTCCTGGCGCGCCGTCCGCCCCACGTCTGACCTGGAGCTCAGGGAGCGCGGACGGAGACTTGGGAAATAGCTACTGGACACTTTGAAGAGTGGCGTAAATCAGTTCTGAGAAAGGACTATAATATCGTAAAATAGTGTCTGTGCAACAAAGCGGAAGCGCTAACACGTGCTCGTGTCCTTCGTGTCTAACATGAGCTTGGCTTACGGGGGCGTGAACAGCGAAGCTCAGAGCAGGACGGCTCCGTGTCCAGTTGTCCAGGGCCGGTTGTCCTCGTTCCTCTACCTGCACATGATCCACACGATTATTAGTCAACATTTCCTTATCAGCTGACTTAGTTTTTAAAATCTAGATTGATGCATTTTTTTAATCTTTTTTTATTTTGAGATTTTCAAACCCACAGTAAAATGGAAAGAAAACTGCATGCACAGCTATAGATCCTTCATTTAAATTCGTTAACTAATATCTTCCCCCAGGTGCTCTGGCTTGCTCTCTCCTGCCCTCCCCCACCCCTCCCAAAAGGAGTTGCGTCGAGGCATGTTGAGGCGCGTCGAGTTGGGTTGCCAGTGGCCACGTCAGACCACGTGGTTGATGAAGACATGTCCATCATAAAATCTGCCACTTTTACCATTAAAAAAATGTTTTTTTCTTTATTGATTTGAGAGAAAGAGGAAGGGAGAAGGAGAGAGATAGAAACATCGATGAGAGAGAACGTCAATTGGCTGCTTCTTGTCTCCCCGCACTGGGGATTTGGCCCACAGCCTGGGCATGTGCCTTGACCTGATGACCTCTTGGTGCATGGGTCAACGCTCAGCCACCGAGCCAGCCACACCGGCCAGGCGCCATTTTTTAAATGTAGAAGTAAGTGGCATTAATTTATTCACAATGTTGTGTAATTAACCACTATCTATTTTTATCTTTACTGTTGATAGTATTACAGATGCCCCCCCCTTTTTCCTCATTAACCCCCTCCTCTCCACTCCCACCCCCCTCCTGCTTTCCCCAGAGTATTGTCTGGGTCCACTGGTTATGCATATAAGCATATAAATTTTTTGGTTTATCTCTTCCAAACCCCCCTCATCCCCCTTCCCTCTGAGGGTGATTGCTGCATTTATTTATTTATTTATGTTTTTATTGATTTTTTTTAAAGAGAGAACAAGGGAGAGAGAGATAAAAACATCAATTTGAGAGAGATACATCACCCGGCTGCCTCCTGCATGCTCCGTACTGGGGATCAAGCCTGCAAACCAGGCATGTGCCCTGACCGGGAATCGAACCAGGACCTCTCAGTCCACGGGACTGATGCTCAATCCACTGAACCACACTGGCCGGGTGATTGACGCATTTTAAAAGGACACTTTTCATCACTCCTATAAGTGGGAAATTAATATCAGTTGGAATAAAAAGAAAGTTGCCATACACAATAAATACAAGTATAAAAACAACAATACTATTAAGTTCTAGTTGCACATACCTGCTTGCCCACAGCTCAGAGCTTGAGGCTGCGTTCTCTTTATTACGGGAGATTAACAGATGTTCGGTGTGAAAGGCTCAACATCAGCGAACTGAGGGTTCCTGCTTCTTGCAATCGTGACGTCGAAGGGGCACGTGAAGGGAATCCCTTCGTCCCCACTGGTTCCAGGGTACGTAGGGCACCGCCCGGGGAGGCCCTGAAATTGTCTTTCCTGTTTCCAGTTGTGTGAGTAACATCTAGAGGTGAGTGTGTGTGGTGAAAGGGATGCCTGCTACAGGACAAGTGAGACTCAAATTTGAACCCCAAGTTTGCCACCAAATGGATGAGCAATCTTAGAATACGTGTATCACGATGTCTCATCAGCAGAATAAAGACAGCACAAGCTGCTTGTAGAGAGATGCCCCGAGCTTGGACATGATTCCCGCACAGGACCAGGGAGGTCCCTGGCACGGGGCTGGGTGCTCCAGGCACTCTGCTGGGGAGAAAGTCAGGCGACATGGATGGGCCTGGATGCATGACCAGCTTTCTTGCTAGAGAGCTCACTCGGCTAACCTGGAGAGAGTCTTGGGCCTCTCCACTGGATGATGCCGGCAACCCCAGAGGACAGGTGCCGTCCTCATCAGAGCAGGGGCCCTCTCGCCTCATGGCCTGTTTGCGCGCAGCACATGGACACACAAGGCACACAGCCCCAGAGAGAAGGGATGCCCAGGGTGTTCCAACAGGCTTGCTATTGCCTTCTGCATGGTACTTGGGACTCATTAGACAACTTGTCATCCAAAAGGTCCAAGGTCAGAAATTCACCTCTTGACTATTCCTTAGGAAACATCCATTGCTCTGGAATATAGATGCACCAAATATCAGGTTAAAGCAAAAGCCTTCAAGTGTGTGATAACTTGGCATCTAAGACTTACTGGGTGAAAACAAACTTACTCTGATTTCTGTTCCTCATGGAGTTTTGATGATCTCATGATGCTCCTTGCTTTTGCCAGAAATAAGACAGAAGACCTCAGACCAACATAATGTAATGATGGGCAATAGTGGGTTTTTTAAGGGCAGAGAAGGTTGAAAGGGAGGAATTAAAGGAAGTTATTGTTTTTATCATTCTAATTAGTTGTACCAAAAAACAGAATAAAGTATTTGTAAGAAAAAGAAAAAAAAAAAACTATTACACAATAACCAAAGGAAAAAGACAGTATTATACAAGAACTAAATAAAAATATAATTGCCATTGGGCGACACTGCCTCTTCTGTGATGACATAAGTCTGTTTGGCTTTTACAGTCAGCTTCAGTCAACACCTTTTGAGAAGAAAATGTAATTCTCATACTCCCACAAAATCACAAGGGCCTAGGATCCAGCTTGAGAAATGCTGTTTGGGGAGCTCAGAAGTTAAAAAGGTTCACTGTTGCCTGGCCAGTGTGGCTCACTGGTCAAACATGGACCCATGCACCAAGAGGTCACCGGTTCGATTCTGGGTCAGGACATATGCCCAGGTTGTGGGCCTAATTTCCAATGGGGGGCATGCAGGAGGTGGCCAATTGATGTTTTCTCCCATTGATGTTTCTATCTCTTTCTCTCTCCCTCTCCTTTCCTCTCTTTCTAAAATCAATAAAGAAAAAATAGTTTTTTAAAAGTTTTGCTGCACCCTGGCCGGTTTGGCTCAGCAGTTAGAGCGTCAGTCTGTGGTCCAGAGAGATCCGGGTTCGGTTCCCACTAAGGGCACGTACCTTGATTGCAGTTTGTCCCCGGCCCTGGTTGGTCGTGCGGGTGGCAGCCACTTGATGTGTCCCTTTCACATCGATGTCTCTCTCTCTCTCTCTCTCTCTTCCTCTCCCTCCCTCCCACTCTATCTGAACAAAAAATGGAAAAATGTCCTCGGGTGAGGATTAAAAAACAAAACAAAACAAAAAGTTTTGCTGCTATCGGTAAAATGGTCAGGGGCCTTTTCTTAAAAGGACAGGATTCTACATGCTGTAAATGAAAAACTGACAGTGTTGGAAAACCCAGACCTGACCTTGACTCTGTTCCTTACTTCCTTTGTGACCTTGGACAAGCCCTTTAACTATTTGAGCATTTTCATCACCTGAGAAAAGAGGCTGGACTTCAGGAAGGAACGTCTAACGTCCGTTTTTAACTCCAACGATGGGAACTTCATTTTCACTGTATTTTTGTTCATGCGCTTGTTCATGTTAAATTTCTCAAGCCGCGCATGTTTGTTACAAAAGCAGAGATGTGTTCAGGTGCCCCGGCCCCGGACGGACAGTCGAAGCATCACTGTTCTTTGGGAACCAGAGTGGAAGGTGAGTGAGCGAGGAAGGACGAGCCAGCTGGTCTAGTTGGACTCGACTCTGGATTTCTTTCCCTTTGGTCAAATATCTGATAAGGTTTCATTGAAACCTCTCTGCCTGGTCCCAGTGCTTCAGGGACGAGTGCAGGGGTCACACGCAGTCCAGGCCCCAGTGTGGGGGTGAGCCCACGCTCCGCCATGAGGGCACCAAGGGGAGGAGACCCTAAGGCTCCGAATGGATTCCCCACCCAGGTCACCTTCCCGTGCCATGGACCTCATTCAGATAGAGTCTGTGGATTTCTTTAGATGAGCTTCCGTCCATAGGGCAGTGGTACTTCTAATGTCCACATTGTCTCGGTCTTGATGGTAGACACCAGGCCTTCCATGCTGAGCACCTAGAGTTGGTGAATAAATACGCCTGTTGAATAAATGAAGCAGACAAGGGAGCATCAACACTCAGTACTGTGTTCGCTCACCCACCCAGTCACCCAGCAAAGAGGAGTACATTGTCAACATAGCCACTAGCCCTGCTTGGCAAGTAGACAGACTGTGTGGTTCTTTGCACAGGGAGCACCGGACTAAAGGAGGCTCCTAAGAAGAGTAGAACTGTGATCCTCCTGTAGCCCACAAGCGTGAGGATCAGGTCTTCATGCCTTTGTATGAGATGTGCCTCCCACTAAACCTTGCTTCGACTGCAGCACATCACCCATCTGACGTAGAAAAAGAAAAAGCGTATACTGTGTGAGGGGTGCCGCGCCTGGGCGTGTGGTTGCGAGGCAGCTGTGCACCCGGAGGGGGACTGGAGAGCGCACACCGGCCCCGCACCCTGTTCTCCGTGAGGTCATTGGCGGCTGCAGTCCGAGGCTGTTCTGAAACTGTTGTGTAATTGGAGGTAGTAACCAGCAGCAGCGGTTCACGCCCTGTGTCTCTGAGAGCCAGCGTTCCCGTGTGGCAGAGAGGAGATGCAGATGTGTCACAGAAGAGGCCGAGTTAACTGTAGAAATAAACCACAGAACTTAAATGCACGTGTGCATAACCAATGGACATAGACAACAATGCCAGGGGGTGGGGGGGGCAGGATCGGAAGGAGGGTGTCAATGGGGAGAAAGGAGAAACATCTGTAAAAAAAAAAATTAATAAAAAAAATAAAACACAGATGCACAGAAAAATAAATAAATAAAGACACACCAATAACGATAGTCTTGAACTGGATGTGGAAACATCAATATAAACTCCTGAGGTCCACGGGAGGTTCTGAAAACAGCTCCAGCGTGAAGAGCGTGATCTTGAAATACTGTTCTCCACGAACAGAGGAGCTGTAGGCGTGGCTGTGTGTCGGCAGCAGGGTGCCCGGGAGTCGGGGTGGCCCGTCCGACCGACACCCAGAAACCTTCCCAGACCTGAGTCACGCGAAACGGACTCAAGAGCCAACTCTGAAGAGGCCAACAATGGGACAATTGAAGCTTCAAAACAAAAAAATGCAACTGGTTGAATCCCATCAAATATGTTTAGATTTTTGAGCTCGTAATGACATTTTGTAAATAAACATTTCATTTGAGTTTACAGAAAAATTGTGGAGATAATCCAGAGAGTTTCCATCTGCCCCGCACCCAGCTCCCCTGTGTTAGCATCTTATGTTAGTGTAATACACTCTTGTTTCTTCCCCTTCCCCTGCCTTTGCTTTCCCTCCCTCCCTCCCTCCCTCCCTTCCTTCCTTTTTCTTGTGCTCAATTTGTTTCCTTCTCTCTCTTTTTTTATGACAATTAATGATGATATTCTAAAAGCCGCTGAGAGGTTACCTTTGGGACGATAGGGAGCCGATCATTATCTTGAAACTGAGTGACTACAGGGTGACTACATTATGCCTTCATCCGACCTTCCATGTGGAAACTGCCACTGAACAAAGACAAGTAGGTGAGAGCAACATCTCTCTGCAGTCATATTTCTATCAACAAAAATGATGGTTAAAATATTACCATTTTACCAACACAAATGAATGAAAGAATCTAAGCATTGAGTGTCTACAGCTGTTGCAATCACAAAGAGACGCACACACTCACATGCTCCCTGATGAAAGAACACCCCGCCAACTGTGTTCTTCCGCACAAATCGACGAGTCCCCGCCAGCCTCTGGGTCCCGTTGCGGGCGGAGGGCAAAGCACTGTGCCGAGAAGCTCTGTGGATTTACAGCCAGCCACGTCCAGACTGGAAACCCCCAGCTCAAACGCTCTAGACTCTTCCACGGAAACAGTTGAGGAATAGAAAAGGATGGGAAGAAAACCTAGAGATGAAGAGAAATTTTAAAAATCATCGAATGCCTTTACAATGGGCAAGACTAAACTCTCCGGGGACTCGCACTTAGTAAAGTGATAAAGAAAAGCAACGAAGGACATGATGGGACGGTGGGCAGGAAGGATGCTGTGATGGAATTGGACACGTCAAAGTCTCCCGGGGGGACCGGCACAGTCCCTTCTTTCTCTGGGCAGTGATTGCAAGGCTGTTTGTCCTACAATAAACTAACTTTTTAAACAACAGATGTTTGATGTGTGCTTTCCTACCTACGTTTTTTTTTTTTTTTTTTTTCCCCCTTCAGAACAGTTTGCAAACAGAGGAAGAAGAGAGAAAATGGAGTGTTCTAGTCTTCAGAAGCCGAGTCTGTGATAAGCAGGTTACAGACCCTGGGAGTCATGAGCAGTAAGTCAAACATTTCCCTTCAGTGGGAGCCAACAGCACTGGACCAGGCTCCCACAACCCGCCACGCGCCATCGCTGTCCCGAAATTCTGAACGGACCCTTTGTAATAACTATTCGGAGACCTAGGCAAGCAGACAGAAAAAAGAGAAAGAAATTAATGCAGAAAAGTCCAAATTCAGCTGCTTATCCTCTTGTTTTTGCCAAGATCACTGTGAGAGATTTTTCAAAAATCCGACAAAATTGAAAACGTCCCTAGGGAAGATGATCAAAGCCCTTCTTATGGGGGAACCACTTCGTAACTGAATCATTGAAACTGCTGGGGAGTTTAGACCCAACCTACATTTTCTGTGATGTTAACCTGTTATTCCTGGCCCCTTGTGTACTTACATTATTCTCAAAGATATCTGTAAATAGTCCCTTACCTTCCATCTCGCCAATCAAACAAACATGTACAGGAAAAGTTGAATGCATAAATAGTCTCTGCTCCTATATTTGCAGTTCAAAAGACTGGCCCACAAAGGGGGAACTGGAATTGAAACGCTCTCTTCGGAAGTTTCAGACTTCCACAGGAGCAGAGACAAGAGCATCCATTGCCGAGGGGAGACCGTAGCTTCACACAGGCTGCGGGAAATGACTACCCTGCTGCTATTTTTAAGACCAGCCGTAATTCCACCAGATCTTTCCAGAAGTGGGAAAACCCCCATTCTAAACTCAGGTGTACAGTCATCTTCTGTTCAAGTGGATCGATCTTTCGGGTTTGCATTTAACCTAGACCTCGGCCAGTGCCTTCCATTTTATAGAAATGGAGGCCTAGGGAAATGAATGCACTCTCCCAAGGTCAAACCGAAAGACAGAATCAGGGTCTGAACACGGAGTTCTTGAGTTGACCAGTTTCTCCAGCCTCTAAGCGAAAGTGAACCTGTCAGGTGTCTAGACGGAGCCGCGTGGAGAAGCAGCAGAAGCTGTTGTTAGTGAGGGCTGCTCCTTGGCCCGGGAACCAGGGACTGCAGAGAGGCAGCCTCGCTGGGCTCTGAGAAGGCACGGGGAACCCTAAGAAACATGTCCAGAAGGGTCTGAGGTCCGCCGTGCAGTAACCGAGCCCCAGGGCTCGGGGCCCGTGGCACCGCTGAGGCAGACAGTAACCACACGGTGCGGCGGCTCCACGCTGGCCCAAGCTGCGCTGGGAAAGCGCTGCTGGAGCGGGTCCGGGCCCGGCCCGGGGGACTGCACGTTCCAAAGCCCTTCGGGGGGCTGGCAGGGCTGGGCCAGCCTGCCGCCCGCAGGAATCCGCACGGCTGGACGACAGTGCTTCACCGGTGTCCTCGGGTTGCTGAAGTCATTTCTGGAAATGTGTACTGTGAAATTATGACAGATTTCTGAGACCATGAGCTAAAAAAATCATTTCACCTCTGTCAATATTGTATAATCTCCTTTCCACTCCAGGATGTCCAGAAAGTAACATGTTATCAGTGGGAAAATTGCACATATTAAAATCTTTCCACCTTTAATGTTGTTCCAAAGGAAATGACATCATTTATTTCCCTGTACTTTGGAAGCAGCCAAAATTCCTCCAGGTCAGAACCAAACAGCTACAATTAGCCAACTAATTTGGACAAATGAGAGAAGGTCTGTTTGCCCAAATCACCCAAATCAGAATTTTGTAGACCTGCTCCCCCCACCCCCAAATAACATCAGCCCCAAGTCTGAATCTTTGTGGTTATCCTACCAAAGGAAACAATATATTACGCTGTGTAATTTGAGGAGATGGTCTTTATTCTCATTTTTTGACATCAGATCGATGGGAAAAGCCATGGCAGGAGAATTCCGTGTGGGTGAGGGAGGGAGAGACCCAATTAAGCAGGCAACGCTAACAAGCTGCCTGAGTGAGCTCTGAGGCATGCCGGGATATTACATGTCCACAAAGAAAATATTAATTTTAAGCTCAAAGAAAAAATAAAAAGGGGAATTTAAGGAAGGGGGGATAAGAAAGAAGTGTCAGGATATTTATATAAACCGTCATTCCTGTGTTTCCCGAAGGCTCCTGCTCTCTAAGCAGTCAATCAACACCCTCTCTGATCACAGGCCGCGCTCTGATCGAGTGGGGAGATGTCAGCCAAGGAGGAGAACATGCGGGAAATCTGTTAACCATGTGTGTCGTTCCCCATGTCAACATGCGAGGAAATAGGGGAGCGGCCTCACCCAGCTCCGAGGAGGGAAAGGAGCACTGTTGGCTTTTGGAATTATGTTTATGATCACAGTTGTTACTGTGATGATGACGATGATGAAAATACACTGGACGTAGTGTTAGCTCAACATGAGTACAAGACCAGCTGGTGCCTGGGGACTGAAGTAACACCAGCTAGGTGTGTACAAGTATCAGCTTGGGAGTTTGAGTTTGTATTTCTTGCCAATGGAGGGCTGAAGACATATTCTTTTATGAAAACACTGGGAATTTTTTTTTCTGGTCTTACCTTAAAACTTCTTTCCCGCCAGGCTATATAATGCAAAACCGCTTCAGCCTAAGCAGTCAGTGAGAGTACCCATAGCAGGTATGTTTAGGGCATCCACCTTAGCAGGTGTGGTGGGGGCACCAGGGAGGGCAGGGGCCGGTGCTCAGAGCTGAGTTCTGGTTGCAGAGGCATTAGCACTTAACCCGGGGGACGCGGGAAGAGTCACTGAGCCCCTGAGCCTCGCTTTCCTACAGAGTGAAACATGCAGTTTTAAGCAGCACCCTCACACCATAGCATGAGTACAGACCACCCAGGGGACTTGTCAAAATGCAGATTCTGGTTGGAAGGTCTGGGTAGGGCCTGTGATTCTGCATTTCTCACAGGCTCCCAGGTGATGCTGGCACCTGGACCAGTCTTTGAGCAGCAAAAGATTAGATGATGTTTACAGTGGACATCAGCTGCTTCTGTCTGCCCAGCATCCAAAGATTAGGGCATCTTTGTCCTCCAATAAGTCACCTGGTTTTCTTTTGGAGAATCACACCTCCTCCCTCTCACTGAGGACATTCAGGTGGG